GAGCGGGGCGAGCGCCCTGCCCCCAGCAGCCAGACCCAGCCTCGGCAACCCGTGTCACACCAGGGCTGAAACGTGCTATGGCCAGCTCCAAATGCTGATTCGAAATACTGTCCCATAGAGCCGTTTCTCACCTTCTCATTGCCATTTCGTGCTCTGTTACTCTTGTCAAAATCCAGAGTCTGGTATTTGTACTCAAAGCTCAGGCTGTTTTCTCACTACAGACAAAACTTCACTACCCAAACCTTTTCTTATTCTTATTAGAATATTAAGCATGTGCTTAAGAAAGACTCCTGGTTATCTCCATGGTTTTAGGACAAATCATTAGAAACATTTAGGTCTCTAAAGCCAGTGGTTGTCTCTAATGATGGGGACAGTTGCCATCTGTGACACCTAGTCCCAACAGGTTGAGGAGCAGTTTGCAGGAGCAGGCTGAAGTGCTGACTATATCTACTGTGTGTGAAATGGTGCTCTGTGTAGGGTGCTGGACAGACATGCCCTTTCCAGCTGCAGTGGGTCAGAACAGCTTCTAATGGGAGCCTTTAACCAAAGCAAATCCAGCTGCACTGGCTAGGGAAACCACACCATAGCCAGTGTCCCCAGCTTGACTGTCAGGGAAACTGCTCCTTTGTGCAAAATGTAATAACAGCAACTTTTAGAAGACCCCTGATCAACTGCCTCCCTGTCCTCTGGACAGCACCACACCATGGCCCAGCAGAAGAGCTCCCCTCCAGTCTGCTGGCAGTTCCCTGCCTGTGAACATGATAAAAACAGAATTTACTGGACCTGCAAGCACAAAGAAGGGCAGAGGGGTTTTTCCCGTGTGAACCAATTATCTCAACGTTTAGATCATTTCTTGGGATCAGGTTGTAGAGAGTCTCATCCTCCTGTACCTGATGGATTCCAAAGTGAGGCTTCCTTGGCGGTCTCTGGCTGCTCTGTAGGCAGCACTCAAATGCTCACTGAGCTGGACAGAGAGTGACTCAGTCACCTTGTGAGATGCTTCTATCCTCACTCCAATTAATGTCCAGCATCTCTTCAGTATTTCCTATTGCTAGGCTTGTTCAGCACTTTCCTCATGCATGCTTAGGTCCCAGTTCCTGGGCATGCCTTTTACTAGAGAGCTTAAGCACCTGCCTCAAGGTTGTGAATTCCATCTAAGCTCAGTCATCCGAGGTTTAGCTGTCAACTGTTGCTGCATCACCCAAGTCTCTCATGCACATGTAACGCCAGCAGAGCGTGGTTCAAGATCCCAGTTACAATCAGTCAGGCTTTTCCCATGGCCTGTAACTGATCCATAGCTTCCAGCCTTTGAAGGCAGGGAGGAAGGCTTCTTCCTCAGTTTTTACATCCCTGAGACTGCTGTCAGTTTATTCTGGCAATGACCAGAGAGCTTGTATCACATTTTTTATATTCCCATTTTTAAATTTCTTAGTATGGTCTTCACAGTGAGGATGCATTCCCTCTCTGTATATAAATCCTAACACTAAATTAGGGAAGAGCCCTTATTTGTACAGATGTAGAGTTTTCTTGTGTTTTCTTACATGCCAATGAGTAACACCTTACTTTTGGAGAGGAGGGGAGTTCACAGGTATTCTCTGACTTGACCACAGTACAAGCAGGCTTCCAAACTTTTTCAGCAATGTAATAGCAAACTTCATAATGTATTACAGATGACACTTATAATTAACATGACACTATAATTAAGTTCATAGTCAACAACTACTTATAATTAAATAGGTATGAGAGAGGAGAATCCTAGGTGTGGCGTGTCACTCTGTGTGCTGCTGTTTTAAAAAAAAAAAGTGCAGTCTAATGGTACAGTGTAAGACCTGCTGGGGAGGAAAAGTTGGGAGGTAACCAGGCCAGAGAGCTGACCTCCTGCCGGCGGCTCGCCAGAGCTATGTTACAGCTGAGCCTTGGATCTGGCCTATGGCCTGACTGCGTGCCCATTTCTTCTATGCCGCACCTAGGTTTTTTGTACAAGAAAAGCTTCACTACTGCTATCCTCTACTAAGGCACATGATTTGTGTAGCTGGAAGTCATGCTAAATAAATACAGATTATTTGAACTTGGTGAAGCTTCTAAAATGAAATCTTTATTAACCAGAGCTCTCCAGTGGTCTATAGTACTTCTGGGGATTCTTACTTGTAAATAACTGGAAAAATAAACTATACAAAAAATAAACCGAAATATCTACCTCCTGATGATGACAGATTACTCTTACTTAGATATCCCAGAGTGCCTCTTACACTGACTATGTGTAAGCTGTGGATTTGATGTGCATCTAATTAGCTGTGCATTTGGCCAGCCACAAGCGTGTGTGTGCACACATGCATGCACAGGGATTTGAGAATGTGCTCTGAAATGTGGGAAAATGGAGGGAGCTTTCCTTCATTCACTCCTTCGCTCCCAGGCAGGAAGTCAGACTTTTAGATTGTTGTATATTTCTGCAATAACTCAGTAGTAATAATAGGCTAAATCAATCTGTCTGTGTTTTTTACAGCACCCAATAAATATTCCCACCTAACTCTCATGATTTCATTTTTTTTCTGAAAGCAGCAGGACAAGAGAAGAAAGCACTCTTACATTCTCAGTGACCTCTAAGAATCTCTAATATTTTGGGAAGGGTCTGCTTGAAACAATGATTGATATTAGAGATAATGCATGTTTGATTTGCCCTAGGAGCAGGAAATCCTTTTTAAAGCCCAGTTCCTAGAGGATGTCTGGCTTAAAATGCATAAATAACTTCTTCTGGTATGCAAAGAATTACCTATATGTATATAAAGTATGACTTGGTACCATGTTGAATCAGAATCTTACTTTCCTAGGAAGCAATTTTAGCCAAAAGCATTTTACTTCATATTGAGGCATACTTACGTGAATACTTCCATCCCCCATCCTGCAATGGCTGTGAAGAGCCTTGGGCCTAGATCCCTTGCCGGGTTCACGGCACAGCCACTGTTCATTCCCAAGGAGCAAGTAAGAACAATTATAAGAAGTCCTACTGCAATTGGCTCCAGGCCCTTTGGTACACTGTTATTTCTGGTGTCAAAAATAGCAAATATAGCCAGAAGAAGAACAGCTGTTGACATCACCTGGCCAATGCAAAGAAAAGAATATTGAATAAATATGTGCAGATTCCTTCTGATAATGAAAAGAGGGGCCATGGCAGCTCTATGGATTGTGGAGGCTTACAGCTGGTATTTAGATTTATCCCACTATACAGAGTAGCAAAATTTGCAACCCAGTGCCTCTCTACTTCACAGTAATGAGAAGTTTTAATACCTGTGCTGAAAGAAAAAGACAAGAAATGTGCTGAGGACACTTGAAAAAAAAATCTGCAACAACCTGGCGTGGAAAGAACAGAGGATTTAAGAGGCACCTCCTGTGCGAGGTCTGATGTTTCCACATTTTTTCCTATCAATTTAACAGTTACATTTACTTGATTTTTGGCAGTTCTGCTTTGCCAATGCCATCAGTTACATTGATATCAAAGTGTTTTATGTGACTGTAGCTTGTGACTATGTGACTAAATATGCACCTCTTTATACAGGTATTGCCTAACGTAAGAAAAAAAAGTGAAGTCTGCAAATTCAAAACTGAGCAGCTAAAAAATTAGGAATTACCTAGATTAAGGTTGCATGTGTAACTGTAACGTGAACTCTGCATTACATATGCTAATTGATCTGATGAAGGAAATTTTCTTGGAATTACTTTGATGGCAGTGCTGCTCTGGTTAAATCAAATGCTTTGTAAATGTCGATTTTGCTAATAATTAACTTAGGGGAAAACCAGACAGATGTTTCAGTGATGTCAAAACATTCAATTTTTATACTGATTTAAAGAAGTTTAAGTTTGGGAGTTAAAAAAATTATTTTTATTTCATCTGGTTTTAATTTTGTTTTAAAATATCCATGGGCAAAAAGATCTTATGGAAAAGTCTGTTGACTGATCCAAAGCAAAAATCAGAATTGTCTGTCGTACAGAATTTCAGAACAGTGTTTGGATTTTTTTTCAAGCCAGATTTCACAATCTTCAAGTCCTTTACATTAGGAATTCCATGTGCTGCAGCAATTCCTAGTTTTTCATAGCTAGCTTACACAGTATATTTATTTCATGTATGCCTGAAGAAGACAGGTAAATTGATTAGAAGTAGGTAGAAGATATGAAACCTCATTTTTCACTGTTAGATAAGTGGGATTAGAGGATACAGATTGGATATAAAATGGAGATTTTTTTCAGATCCAGTGATTTGAAAAATAACAAATATTAGAAATCTATTTGCAAACAGAAGGTTAGAGAGGAGCCTTGTGGTAGCAGAAAACTCAGTTGTTCAAGGTGTGTTAATCTGGCTGCTTAACCATTACTTAAAGAATAATAGGTCCACAAAATGGGCTGGATGTAAATGGACATAGGTCTGCTGACGTTTATGGAGAAACACTGATTTATGCTGGGGAAAACCTCTTACGTATATTGCATTAAAGACATGTAGAGTGCAACAATTAATATGATGTATGTGGAAAGAACAACTTGAAATTATCTTGCTTGTAAAATACAACTAAAATGTAACCCCCACAAACAGTATTGCATTCTCATTGCTATTGTACACAGTGATGTATGACCAAAACGGTGAGATTCATCATACACGTTGGAGATCTATGTATTTTTTACTGCTTGGTTTTACAGTTTTCAGTATGTTTAATTTTTATAATCAAGACAGAAAGTGTACTTACCTGATCTGCAAATCCATTTATGAGGGACAGATACGGAGCTGGATATGTTGCAAAGATATGTGCTGTTGCATTAGGTCCTGTGACTTCCAGTGTTCCATTGCTATACTCCATAAAGGCATCTATAGAAAACAGATGTTACCTAGTTGTGCTTCTCCATAAACATGAGGTTTTTCTAGGACTGGAATATATGTGATAGGTCTGTGCACTTCACATTCTCCACTCAAGCTGATAGTTTTTTTCTGGGAGCATAGTTAACAGATTTGAAGTGATGTATTAATTATACCCTTCTGCCTCATTTCTCCTCCAGTGCCTTGAAGTACTTGTTTTATGTATCAGCTTTCAAAATGGGGCTGTTTTTTCCCCTGCTCATTGCTCCAAACTCACTATCAGGGAGCATTTTCTGATTCTGAACACAGTTGCATTATACTGTAAGAGGTGCTATATTTGCCATAATGCCCCAAAAAACACATAGCCACCAGGAATGACTGCTATTCCATTTGACAGTTGTGCAATGACTTCTGGGAATGAACTCTCCTGAGAGACCTCCTCTTCTAAAGGAGTTTGAATTTTTCACTCTGCTTGGGCTTTACACCCAACTGCTATGCTAGTGTTCCAAGATGTGAGGGGAGAGGCTAGCCCCAAAACTTCAGTTCTTAGTATATTTGAGTTAGTGTATTTGATATATGTAGTAAAGATTTATGTATATTGTAAGTATGTGTATATTTATGTTAGTATATTTAAAGCGTATTTTAAATAGTATAATATGACTTCTGTGTCAGAATAATTTGCTGCCTTGGCAAGCCCTGAAGTGTTAGAAATAGGAAGACACTAAGATGAAACACTTGAAAATCTACATGGCCTAACATGAATAACAAATGCTATGCCTTTATTTCACTAGTGGATCAAGTGATGAGGTGATACTTGTGAGAAAAGAAACAGCTCCCGGTCTCCCATGGAAGTCATGGTGAGGATGATTAGTTTCTCCTGAAACTAGCAGACAAATCTATTTCTCCTTGTCCCTGTTTTTTCTAGCTTTGTTAAAGGCCACAACATGGGTGCAGAGAATATTTAGTTGTTTATTTTGGTGAGGCACTCTCCTTTGCAGTGTCAGATTATTTTGTTGCATTTAACTATTAGAAAAAAAGGATATGGAAAATAAAATTTTTCAGCTGTGAATTACTTTGTACACCTGTAGAAAGGCCTCATATTCAGCAGCCTAGCATATATATTCCCTCATTCTTTCAGGGGTGTTGCTGAAATTGAAAGCACCTAGCTCAGATACATGTGCATGGGGAAGATGGAGGTGTCGAGCTCCTGGCTGGTTTTCCACCAGTGAGTTTTCAGTGGACCTCAATGAGTACAGGACACTCCTGCAAGCTTCAGGAAGGAAAAAGTACAGAAGAGGTTTGGGAATTAATAAGAACAAGAGAACAGCAAAGTACTCGAGCAGAGATAGGGATATGAGAAAATCCTGGACTCCAGAAAAAAAGGAAGAGCG